GGTGCCTGGGACCTCAAAATAAATAAATCAATCAATCAAAATCAAAATCAAATCGAATCAAGCCGTTACAATTAACCTCACCTCATCTTTTCGCTTTCCGTGTTTCAACATAGCGAGTGTGGATGCTGGTGTAGGTGAATCCCGCGGTTTCGACGCGTCGCAAAAAGCGACAATGTCGTTAACAGACAGCGGCAGCGAAGCACAAACAGTTCGAAGGGATCATAACTTGGAAATTTTTGGGAAATTGTTGGAAAGGGTCAGACTTACATTGATGGCGGAGATGAATGAGGAGGATCTACCAACAATGGAAGACGTGAATGAAGCCGTCAAGGCCTCCAATGTACACAAAAGGGCCTGGACGGAAATGTCCCAGAAGAAGTCTCCTATTGAGGAAAGGGTGATAGCGCTAGAGTAGGTCGTCAAGAAAAGCCTCGCGAACTCCGCACGAAAAGCAGCTCCTGTTGTGTCGTCGGGGAAGCCGCCACCAAAGACTTACGCATCGGTTGTGGCTCCGCAAACAGCGAAAACGGCGAAAACGATGTTCAGAATAAGAATCGTCGGAGTAAAAAACCTACAGGCGAAGGAACTACTATCAAGAGCCAAGCAACACATTGAAGAAGCGTTCGCAATTCGACTGATGCGAAGCAACGGCAACTTCTTGTTTGCCCAGTCGGCGTTTCAGAGAGACGCGGCGCTTAATATGCGACAGCCTAGCGAATTTAAAATTCCACTGCAATGCAAACGGAGGTCGTTCGACAAGGCCTCGTCATTAACGCCATACTCTTCACCGCACAAGTGTGGTCACCACGGTCCCAGCCAAAGCACTGTTATAACTGCAGCCAGTGGGTACACACCCAGGCGTCGTGTGGAAAGGCAGCTAGGTCCGATGAGTGCGCAGGCGCTCACGAAACTCAGGACTGTACAAAGAATAGGGTTTCTCGTGTTAATTGCGGCAAGAAATACCGTTCGTGGCAAAAAGCAGCGCGTCGGACTTATCAATTCTACATGGGAAGTGTATAGAAGGCTCGGATGGATCTATTATCGAGAACATCGGAAATATGGAACGAAAAACCAACCATGGCGCCAATGTGAACAGTCGGAACGACAAATGATCAGGGATTTACCATAGCCACCAGTAAGAAGGCTGAAGGATCCATAAGAGGGCCAAGACGATCACGCAAGGTAATCGAAGCCCCAGTGGCACCAACTATCCCCACGACAGCAGAACCACCATCGGGGCCAACTCTTCGGACACTTCGACGACCAAGGCCGAGTGAGGAGGGGCCTTCTATTTTTAATTTCTCTTAACATTAGTCAGATTGAAGGGGGAGTTAACGAATTCTGGAGAAAGTTTATATAACTGTGTTTGAAAGGAACGGCCTCAACATTAAGCGGGGTCGGTTCAAAGTGGCAGGACATCGGGTTTTGTTTGTTGAAAGCTTTTTCCCTTACCAAAGCGGCTTACCGTCTTCATGGTTCTGTATATAGATACTGCATAGGACGTTAAACTAGAGAAATTCAATTCAATATTTTTATGAGGCAATAGCTGATGTTTCTGCTTCTATTCAGCTAGCGGGTTATTTGGTAGGGTCTGTGAAAAAAAGTATCTGCATTTAAAAATCTACCTATAGTTCCCTCATTACTCCCCATAATACCTAGTACTAATAAGAATCTTTGGCTCATGTCAAGGGCGAGATTGATTATCAGCTTTATCTCCGTTTCTACTCTGGTTGAGTTACGGCCTCGCCTCAACCTGGCTCTAGGTACAATAGCGTGAGTAGATGTGGTACGTGCAAGTTAGCTTACAGTTCCTGTCCATTTCTAAATACTCTCTTCTCATAGCCAATCTACTTCTTTTATCTCTGCATTAGAGCTGCCTTCCTGCCACTTCCTCCTCTCGTGATTGGTTATCAATCTGTTGGACTATTCTGGAAATGGGAGTAGAAGGTAACAAATTATCGAAGTGTTTCTTCTCTATTCTCTGGCTATCGAGTATCTAAAATACACAGTTTTCCTCTATTGACTTACTAGATAACTCGCTGGCAATAATGCTACCACCGAAACATACCAAACCGTGTTCAGGACAGATAAGATGAGAATATCATCGGAAACATGAATGTAAACCCAATTCAAAGTATGAGTTATGTAAAATCCGAACAAAAAGATATTTTCCTTGATACACATCATATATCAGCATTAACTTCTCTGACCTGAGTCATGCTATGAGTAGATTCGGGTAAACCTAGAATAACCGTAGCGCAACACAATCTTTGAATGTTTAATTACCGGATGTACCACTGATGCCAGGAGACGTTACTATGATTGGCATATGATTTGGGAATGTACACTTGCGCTGGAACAGCTAAGGTAGTTCGTGGAGAGGTATCTTAATTAATGTTCATAATGTTAGGGTTATGTATATAAATAGGGCATTGGTGATGATTTTATTTATCGTGCCAGGCTTACACCCTCCATCCAATGGACGTGACACGCATGGAGGACATCTAGAATACAAGTTCCTCCATTCTCCAGCAAAGCCCATCCGGTGCCTAACTTTTCCAAATACGTGCCTCTCGCTAGTTATATCGGGTCGAATAGGTAGGGACGCATTCACTATGATCCTAAGACCATGTATTGAGGGAAAACCTTCGTGGGAAACCCTCAATAATTCCTCCTGTACTCTTTCAAGACGAGCAGCCGTAATTCCCCTTTAAACAGGCCGTGTAGGAATCCAACCTACCACTTCTAGAAAGCACATCCAGCACCCAACCAACTGTGCTAACAGCCTATTGAAAATCACATATCGCTCTTCCCAAATTCTCCCCTGTATTGCGCTCAACCCCCATCTGAGAGGGCTGAAATTCCGAAATCGAGAGCTCAAAACCGAGGCATCGGTGCCCCAGCTTTTGTCGTACATTGTTCGTTCTCTGAGTGAGGCTTCTTCGTTCGCGCTGTCTTTGGAATGTGTCGAAAAGTTGAGAATGTTGATGTCGCGGTCGAGGTGCTTGTCTAAAATGAGGCCGAGCAATTGTCCAGTCCTGCACACAATGTTAGTAAGGTTCAAAGCGAAAGGAATTTTACCTTTGATTTTGGAGGGTTGTTGGTGAGTCGTAAAGTCCTCCCAGTGAAACTCAATCAGGAAGTTGTTAGAAGACTGAATAGCGGAGACCCAAACTTGAACATTTGATCTATCGTGCCGGGAATGGAATCTAGCCCATGTGTCAATCGAAATCGACTGGGCCACGCACAGCAAGCTGCAGATGCGAAGGATGCGATTCTTCTCGGCTATCCCAGATATGCAGAGCATACTGAGCGATTACACCGGCACCACTGGAGGGTAAAGAATACGACTTTGCCGGCGGCATTGGTGTTGAAATTGGCGCTGCTTGGCAATGAAGATTCGCATTGACATGGAACGTAATAAGTTTCGAATATTACAAGCTACAATTATGGCAACTCACACATTTGACGATCCAAGGTTGATAGACCTCTAGATTAGTACGAGGCTCCGATTAATTGTAATACTTATTGAAATGTATAACACACTCCTTAGTTCGTGGACTTATTGGTAGAGGGAAGCTTATGCAATAATGAAGGATCGAAGGATGTCAATTCGACTTCTCTTCTAAACACAGGCACCAGACTCCTTTTAATCCCAATAGGGGGACTATTCTCAACACCTGTCAGTGGTGTCCCCTACTAATCTCCAGCTCTCACTGTAGAGTCTGCGGAGCCGAGATTGAGTAACACCTTATCAGCTTTGAGCTGAGTTATCTCCCCCCCCGTCAAAGATACGCTTCCGATGACACATAAGACGACCAAAACGATGATAATAATGATAATGATGCTGGGCATGATGGAAGATAATGCGGTACCAAACGCTACAACGGTAGTCAGAGAAGCCCTCGTTATATCGCAACAAGTGCTACCCACCGGCGGGCGAACAAAAAGCCCACGAAAGCAAAGTAAAAGACCCTTCCACCCTGAAGAAAAGCAGATTTCGACTCGTCTGCAATATCGTCCCTACTAATCTTAACTTCCGAATCTACTAGCTAGGAGGGCATCTGAAATACATGAGTTACCCGACGATCCCGCGTCCGTAACGACTTTTGGATGCTAGGCTAGGCTCCTTCACGACAGTCACTCTCGACCAAGACTTCTATGACATCTTTTTACAACCTTCGGTTTATCCTGCGGCATGAGTCGGGGAAAGAGAAAGGAGGAAGCTAGGAAGCTAGAAAGCTAGGAAGTTTGAGAGACACTCTCAGGTATACACAGGTCTGCTGCGCCCGGCTGGCCTCCCCATCATAGGAGAGCCCCGCACCCAGTGGTATTTGAGACTTTTTCCTGCAGCTACATACCCGCAAATGGCCATCGTTTCGTTGGCTGGAGGGGGGAGATAATGGCGGGATAACGGCTCTTCTTAGTGTGTACTCGAATGAAGACCTGAGGAGGTATTACTGCTGCAAAAAAGTCGTGAAGGAGGCATAGGAGGGAGTACACTACCCGAGGCATAGATACTCCCGGCCTGTAGGAAGAAAGAATCTACATATCGTCACACAGTCGTAGACTTTATAGAACAATAAATCTCAAGTCCACACTTACGAGAAGTTGTCTATGAGACCTCCGTGAGCACGTGATATATCATCATTCTAATCGTTAGAGGCCTTGTCGGGGGGTACCCTGGACTGGGTATACATTGTGATGGTGAATGAAAATTTGACAGACCTATTAGTGTTGTAATAACATTTATCGCGACAAATAGATTGCTCTTAGCTTGCGGGTACTGAGAGTGAATTAGAGAGCTGAGCTCAGTCTGCGGCATATCGGGTCTGTTTAGTGCGAAGCTCTAAAAGGCGAAAATATATTTACACCAAACAACGATACCCCACACACCTCGGGTCCTTTTTACAGATAGCCAAAGATTCCTGAGATGCTACATGACCAGACTGATTGGTCAATGCTAACTTTGGGGACGTCGCTTTTAAACACCTTTTTTGATGGCTCCCCATCTGGCTAGTATGTGCTCTAAAATGGCCTCGTCAAGTCACACAAAAGGCGTAACGGACCTTCAGCAGAACCACCTTCGAACCAAAATGCCTAGAACTATTATTCCAGCTATTCCACTACCGTATGTACAGAAGCGCCGGAAAAATCAAGCCGAACGCATCCAAGTTCTAAAGAAAGTAGAGACCGCAGCAGCCGTAGCCACAGAAGCGTCACTACCGGAAACACAAGAGGATTTATCACAGTCAAATACACTCACAAAGACGCTGGTTGATGGAGAAGACCATCAAGTAGTTTCTAACTTAAATAAGCCAGTTACTTCCCACCCTAGTGAAATACGATTTGAGTGTGCTTATCAAGACATGATATGTAAAGAAACAATAAAACCTGTATCAAATAAATCACCAGTGGAAATCGAGGAAACTACTTATTCTGAGCGTGATGAAGTCAAGGCAGAAACCATAAATCTTATGAAAAATTATCCGAAACAAGAAAGCAAGGGAAGGACAGGAAACTTAAGTAAAGGTTAGCACCCATTTGCAAAATCTCTCACAAACTGTAGCTGATTACCAAGCTAACATACCTAGGTCCTTCAGTTGTAATTGATTCTAATCAAGAGTGTATGTTTTCACTGGCTAGCCATAAAGTTGCTCTAGATAAGGATTCTACAAATTTGTCGCCCATGAACGAGAAAATATGTCAACCCATGAGATTATCACCTCAACAGACTTTCGGCTCGAATAATGTCAACTACAATGGTAGTGTGGTAATTGCTAGTCACTTAAATTCCACAGGATCATCACCCGCTCCACTTCAGGCCGTAGTACAAGCAGCTCCTGTTTATGGATACGGGAAACCCCCGCCTGGATATCATTCTCAAGTTCCATCAAGCAACCAGCACATGCCAGCTGTATATTCTATGCAGCCTCCTCCACCACCAGTTCACTACCTACCTTCAGACGAGTTTTTGAACGGGCTTTTCACAAACGAGTTCTCGCGCAAGCAAATCATTTTATCCGGTCTCACTGACAGGTTTTCTCCCTCTGCGGCTCCGAGTGAAGCTCATCATCCACATAATTCTACCACGCTAAATAGTTTTCACGGCTCGCATACATCAACTCAGGATAATGATAGTGGCGCTCCGTTTTTCAAACAGAACTCGACTAATATTTTTCGCAACGGCGGTAATGAGCAGGTCGAGGATTTACGCTCCACCTGTTCAAAATCCTCTGCAAATAGGTCTCTAGAGCAGTTTTCTCTACCTCTCCTTCTCCGAAACCAAGCAACACAAATAGATATGTTTGGCGGACTTCCTGAATACCTAATTACCCAGTTTGCTGATCCTGTATTCGCTGACTGTACCCTCGAACTCCGATACTCTGATGACCGTGATACGCCTATTTGCATCCCTGGTCATAGCCTAATATTTGCCCGCAGCATAACTTTGAAAGAAATGATTCTTACTGCACGCCGAGAGAGTGAAGGAATGACTTCTAGGACTTTGTTAATTGAAACTCATGATCGGTTTTTATGCACAAATGGCTTTTACATGGCGATACATAGACTATACGGTAGTTCACTTCTTGATCTTGGCCCAATTATCCCAATGTGTCCTGCTAGCCAACAAAATGTTCCGTTCACCGTCACAACTACAGACCGTTTCAACCTAGCTCTTGGGTACGCAGCAGCTGGCCATCTTCTCAAACTAGATGGCGTTGTAAATCGCGGCTGTGAGATAGCTGGTCTAGCTTTAAATTGGGAAACTTTAGAGAAAGGCTTAGACTTTGCCCTTGATGGCGGGCTTGAAGATCAGTGGACTATCCAAGGCTGGGATTATAGAAGTGCCTTCGCAACATACGGACCCGGCGTAAATATGATAATCCTCAAGGCTATGGAGCTTATCTGCCATAACTTCCCAGTTAGCTTCGAACTAGATACTTCTGTTGGTGAGGCTAAATTTGCTCCCCGTCTTCCAACCATTTCTTACAAACGCCAATCTTCACTGAGCTCACGTTTAAGCCAAATTAGATTTGGAGATTACGCCACAGAGGATCCTCAACACTTAAGTGATTGTCAAACACCATGTGTTATACTATCTCGAGTTTTGCTTAATTTACCCTGGAATTTGCTGCAATTTTTATTTGAATCCTCACATCTAACAAGTACTATCGGAAATCTAGCCGCACGACACCGGGTCTTAAGTGACATTGTTCAAGAGCGAGAAAAGCGAAGACTTGATATTGTAACCTGCCTCAAACTAAACTCTGAGGATTTGGAGTTTTCTCGTGAATGGGAAGCAGTTGGTTGGGAAGAAAGTGTAAAAGATCTATGTCAAGGCGACAGGTGGCCAAGACTTACGCGAACCCGAGCAAACCTCAATATACTTAAGCCCTAGGTAATAACTTCAGGGCTAAAGATAACTATCGATTTCCAGAATCTGTTGTAAATATGGTCTATTTGATGGAGCTATATGGCGTTCAACTTCGTATCGCAGAAAAAATTCAAAATTCGCAACCTATCTAACACTTATCAATTTTGTCAATATAAGGATTTGAGTTGGAGTAAAATGTTTGAAAACTCTTTTCATGAAAATATTATCTCTCATGTTCGCATCTTGGATGTTGAATTAATGCGCCTCTCTAATATAAAAGCAGTTGATGTCGGCGAACTTCTGACTAGGAATACTTTCATTGTGAACTGGAACTCGATACCCAATCTGTTTGCCTTTTTGACACCCCTGAGCTTGACAAGAGTTCTCTACAACAAGATAACCAGTAGGCGAGGAACAAAAATCGATGGTTAAGTTGTTATCCTCAAATTTTAGTCAGTTTTCGTAGATCAAGGGAAGTATTGGATGTATTATTGACCTCATCCGAGTAATGCTAAGAATTTCAATCTAGATTTGTGTTTAGCCGTAGATGTCACCCAACTTGCGGCATAGGATTGAATAATTATTAAATATGAGCTTGTCCAACTTATACTGCAACTTAGAATGGTTACTTAAATTGGATTTAGACCCAAACCTTTAACCTTTAGTTACCGGTTTCTTAGCCCAGACTACAAATTCTTAATTAAGATCTTTTTGATGTATAGGTGTACGGTGAACTCTTAAATCTAGACGCTAGAGCAGCTGGATTGTGATATGTACTTGAACGTAATCAACCAATTTTCATGATTTCGGTGTTTTTGTGGCAGCTATACCTCTAGTTGTAATAGGGGCTTTATATATTTCCACAAAGGCATCTAACAGTGTAAAGATCGCGTGCATGACGGGGAGGTTTGCATTTTTTTTCGCTGTAATAAATTAAACTCCCACGGAAGCTCTGCTTCTCTAGTGGCACTAGGATGTGATAAATTTCAAATTTTCTTCGTAGGTATAGAGAATCCCCTGGTCATGAAATCATCCTTTTTTCGAATGGTGCTATGGTCCTTGACAGAAAACAAGCTCTTTAGATTATCGTTCATTCCCTTTCGCCGGCGCTTATTACGCTCTTCTTGCTCGACAAGCACCTTAGATGTCAGGGATGCTGTGGCAGCATTATTTATCCCATTAGTTGTAAGTGTAGTCCGATCTAGAGAATTCAATCCGGCTGCCGCCGCTTCTCTCCGACGTTTCTTGACTCCGGGAATTTTCTTTAATGAATGTGTTAGATCGGCATCTCTCAGTTTTTGGATTCTTTCAGCGAGCCTATCGACTTGTTCGGGTGTGTTGGGAAGAATGTTTATCGTATTATCGCGTGTGTATATTTCATTGCACTTTAGACATCGCTCGCTTTTTACTTCTAGTATTGCTGCTTCAGAAAATACGTGGCCACAGGGGACTAAATATACGCTTCTTGTGCTTGGCCCTAATTCCTTGCTAGTTATAGGGCAGATGCGCTTCTCATTTTTGCCAGTCCCGATCGTTGTGAACACTACCTCTACCACGTCTCGGAGACATTTAACACGTCCATGGAATACATCTTCGCTTGTTGTCGTGTCAGATTTTGGTAGAAGCTGCTCAAGGACGGCATCTTTGTTGTAAAGGGTTCCCGCATAATCTGACGCGATAGGTGGAGCCAGTGGGTGATTTGAAATAGGACAGGTAGTCCAGGCATGGGTTTGCGCTTCGAGGAGAGTAGCTCTAAGTGTGGATGTGTCGGGTTTACGAGCGGCTTCTTTGACTAGTTCGATCCTTCTTGGTATACTACCTCCATCGTTACCCATTTCTAAAAAAATTTATTTGGTGTTAGTTTTGGATGGATATCTTGAGTATCACGGAAGCAACGGACGAACCAGGTAAATTTATGAAAGCCCGCTAAGTCACAAGCGCCTCATCCGCGGACGCCCTCAGCCCATCAGGTCTTTTTTGGACTGAAGCAGCCCACCGGACTTCGAACTAACATCATTCAACTATTGAATTGAATATATATTTTCAGAGTATCTCCCTAGATGGAGAACAGAAAGGCCTATGGAATTATAGTCGTTCACTAGAAGAATTGCGGAAAATGTCATCGCAACCGGCTCAAGAAGCTTTAGGCCGTATTGTGCTAGAGTTGCGTTCACGGTTTGAGTCTCCGCAAGACCTCGCATAGCCTGACTGACTCACACAATAGAGGGAGCGAAGACTTGAGGAGACGAGCGGCTTTGGAACTGAGGGAATTAGTAATTGTCACAGCAAGAGGTACCATATGCCCAGAAGCTTGAATATGACACGCTGACAGAGTGAAAGATTTACCACCTGAACGTTTTCTTGAATTTTATAGTGTTGTAAATACTCGGATTAGTCAATTGATTACCCATGGAACAGACCCGGCCGACCGTCTTGGAGGCATACATGCTTTAGATGCTTTAATTGATTTTGATGGAGTTGATTTAGGACAAAAAGTCACCCGATTTACACAATGTCTACGGACAGTATTGAAAAGCAAGGATCTATTGCCTATGCAGCCTGCTGCTGTAGCGTTGGGAAAGCTATGTCGACCCGGTGGCTCGCTGATATCTGAATTGGTTGAGAGTGAGGTCAAGACTGCCCTAGAGTGGCTTCAGTCTGATCGGGTCGAAGAGCGACGATACAGTGCAGTCTTAGTGCTCCGAGAGCTCGCCAGAAATGCGCCAACTCTGATGTACGCCTTTGTTGGTCTAGTTTTTGATCAGATTTGGGTAGGACTACGTGATCAACGACTTCTTATACGACAAACAGCTGCCGAGGCTATCAGTGCAAGTTTTCAGATCATAAGAGAGAGAGATCAATCTATGCGTCAGACATGGCAACTCAAAATTTACGATGGAGCCGTAACTGGAATCCGGCAAGGTACAGTAGAAAATATTCACGGCTCACTGCTCGTCATCAAAGAACTTCTACAGCAAGGCGGCATGTTCATGCATGAACACTACCAAGAAGTCTGCGAGATTGTTTTTCGACACAAAGATCACCGAGATGTACATATTCGTCGCACAGTTGTCATGCTAATTCCCGAACTAGCTAACTACTCACCGTCGGAGTTTGTTCAAGGCTATCTGCACAAGTTTATGGTATTTTTATCGGGCATGCTTAAGAAAGACAAGGATCGTAACGACTCGTTCCTAGCAATCGGAAATATTGCCAATGCTGTTAAAAGTGACATAGCACCGTATTTGGATGGCGTATTAATTTATGTACGTGAAGGACTCAGCGTCAGATCTAGGCGTAGTGGAACAGTAGATCCAGTGTTCGATTGTATTAGTCGACTAGCCGTTGCAGTTGGCCAGACTTTAAGCAAGTATATGGAAGCCTTGCTGGATCCTATTTTTGCTTGCGAACTAACACCTAAACTTACACAAGCACTGGTTGATATGGCTTTTTATATACCCCCAGTGAAGCAAACAATTCAAGAAAGACTGTTGGACATGCTCAGTAAAGTTCTATGTGGCGAGCATTTTAAGCCACTCGGAGCCCCTACGCCGAATAATATCAGCTCTGCGCTGATTGTCCCCAAAGATTCAAAAGATCCTCTTGCGTACGAGCATCGGCAAGCTGAGATAAAACTCGCTCTGAACACTCTCGGTAGCTTTGACTTCTCAGGTCATGTGCTTAATGAATTTGTTCGTGATGTGGCCATCAAATACGTCGAAGACGAAAATCTAGACATTAGAGAAGCTGCTGCCTTAACTTGCTGTCAACTCTATGTCAGAGATCCAGTTGTTAATCAAACTAGCTATCACGCAATCCAAGTTGTCAGCGATGTTATTGAAAAACTTTTGACTGTCGGCGTAGCTGACCCTGATCCTTCTATCAGAAGAACCGTACTAGCAGCTTTAGACGAGCGTTTTGACCGACATCTGGCTAAGGCTGAAAATATACGGACACTCTTCTTTGCTCTAAATGATGAAGTTTTTGCTGTCAGGGAGGTTGCTATCGTCATAATCGGTCGCCTAACTCATGTCAATCCTGCCTATGTTATTCCTTCTCTGAGAAAAGTTCTTATTCAAATGCTCACGGAGCTTGAGTTCTCTGATGTTGCAAGAAATAAGGAAGAAAGCGCAAAACTCTTGAGCTTGCTTGTCCAAAATTCTCAGCGCCTCATAAAATCATACGTTAACCCGATGGTTGCAGTCTTACTTCCAAAGGCGCGTGACTCTAACCCTAGCGTATCTTCAACCATTCTGAAAGCAATTGGAGACCTCGCAACTGTTGGTTGTGAAGATATGAAGCCATATATTGATCAATTAATGCCTATAATCATTGATGCACTTCAAGACCAAAGTTCTATTATCAAGCGTGAAGCGGCCCTCAAGACTCTTGGACAGCTAGCCAGCAATGCAGGATATGTTATTAAGCCTTATTTGGATTATCCAAGCCTTCTAGAAATTCTCCAAACGATTGTAAGGACTGAACCTCATCGCGGTCCATTACGACAAGAAACAATAAAGTTATTGGGCATTCTTGGTGCTCTAGACCCATATAAACATCAACAGGTCGAAGAAAGATCACCAGAATCTCAACTACGTTTTGAATCAACTCAGCTAACTGACATATCACTAATGATGACGGGACTAACCCCGTCAAACAAAGAATACTTTCCTACAGTTGTAATAAATGCCCTTCTACAAATAATCAAGGATCAATCTCTAGTTCAACATCACGCTGTTGTCGTAGAAGCTATTATGAACATTTTTCGAACACTTCAACTTGAGTGTATCCCCTTTCTCGACAGGGTAGTACCGGCATTTATAGCAGTTATCAGAGGTGCTCCTGCTACCAAACTTGATTCTTACTTTAGTCAGCTTAGTAGTTTAGTCGGTATTGTACGCCAACATATTAGAAGCTTTCTACCTGACATCGTGACCGTACTTCAGGAATTTTGGAATCATCCTCACGGCCTAAAAGCAAATATACTTCAATTAATAGAAGCTATCTCACGATCCCTGGAAGGTGAGTTTAAGGTTTATCTTGCTAATATTTTACCACTTATGCTTGGAGCCTTGGAAAAAGACAATACAACTAGGCGGATTACTTCCGAAAGAGTTATGCACGCCTTTCTCACGTTTGGCCAGAGCGCTGAAGAGTATATGCATTTAATTATTCCGGTGATCGTTGGTGTTTTTGAAAAGCCGCAACAGCCATCCTTTATTCGAAAGCTCGCTATTGAAACTGTTGGGAAAATATCTCGACAAGTTAACCTCAACGATTTTGCCTCAAAGATTATTCACCCCCTATCGAGAGTACTGGGTGGAACTGATATTACTTTGAGGCTTGCAGCTCTTGATGCACTATGTCTTTTAATATTTCAATTAGGAAAAGATTATCTACACTTTGTAAGCACTATAAACAAAGTTCTTGCTGCACAGCAAATTACACACCAAAACTACGAACTCTTAGTTAGCAAACTTAAAAAAGGAGAGGTATTACCCCAAGATCTTAATGCTGATGAGCGATTCCGTAATTCAATCGACGATGGTTCCGCAACAGAAGTTCAGAACAAAAAGCTTGACTCAAATCCAGTACATTTGAAAGCTGCCTGGGATGCGACAGGGAAATCTACGAAAGAAGATTGGGCTGAATGGATGCGTAGACTTAGCGTTACTGTCTTGACCGAATCTCCTAATCAGGCTCTTCGCGCATGCGCCTCTCTAGCAGCGAATCATCCACCACTTGCACGCGAGTTATTTAACTCTGCATTTGTATCATGCTGGGGTGATTTATTTGAACCGTACCAAGATGACCTTATCCAAAACATTGAGCTTGCAATCCGCTCTCCACACGTCACCCCAGATCTCCTTGGAATTCTGTTAAACCTTGCTGAGTTTATGGAGCATGATGATAAGGCTCTTCCAATTGACATTAGAGTACTCGGCCGGGAGGCAGGGCGATGTCACGCCTGGGCTAAGGCTTTGCATTATAAAGAATTAGAATTTCTCCAGGATCAGTCCGGAATTGCAGTTGAAGCACTCATTCAGATAAATAATCAATTACAACAATACGATGCTGCTATCGGCATTCTTCGACGAGCTCAACTTTACAAAGATGGCATAACGCTACGTGAAACGTGGTTCGAAAAGCTTGAAAGATGGGAGGAAGCATTGGAATTCTATCACAAGCGAGAAGAAAAATTTCCGGATCAAGCTCAAACATTTGATGTCATCATGGGTAAGATGAGATGTCTACATGCACTAGGAGAGTGGGAAACTCTGTCGGCTCTAGCCCAAGACAAATGGCATACTTCATCTCTCGATATAAAGCGTGCAGTTGCTCCTTTGGCAACGGCAGCAGCATGGGGTCTTGGTCAATGGGACTTGATGGATGACTACCTCAGCGTTATGAAAGCAAATACTCCAGATCGATCATTCTTCGGTGCAATCCTTGCTTTGCATCGCAATCAGTATCGAGAAGCAGCTATGTTCGTGCAGAAGGCAAGAGAAGGTCTTGACACTGAGCTTAGTGCACTAGTCAGTGAATCGTATAACCGAGCTTATACGGTTGTTGTGCGGGTGCAGATGCTCGCAGAACTAGAAGAAATAATAGTTTACAAACAGAGTAATAATAATCCTGCCAAGCAAGAAGCTATGCGACAGACCTGGGAAAAGCGCCTTCTTGGGTGCCAGAGAAACGTTGAAGTCTGGCAAAGAATGTTGAAGGTCCGTGCACTAGTGATTTCACCCAAAGAAAATATGCAAATGATGATTAAATTTGCAAATCTATGTCGAAAATCAGGTAGAATTGGCTTAGCAGAAAAACATTTAAAGATGCTTATTGGAACCGATATATCCTTAGATTATGTACTACCATTCCAAGACGCCAACTCTACCCAAGCAATAAACCCTGGCCCACGTGTCGATCGCCAGAAGCTTCTTATAGAGATGGGAATTCCACCGCCAGTTCAATACGCAGTTCTCAAATTTCACTGGGCCAATGGTAAACATGAGGCTGCCCTAGCTGCTCTCCAAGACTTTACAAAAGATCTTGCCGATCACATCAGAACACTTCAGTTACAGGTGCACAACATGAATAGTGTTGATGGACACAATACACTAAATATCAACAGTAATGGATTTGCACTTGATAGTAACTCGTCTACTGGAATGGCACATAATGTTAGCATTAAACAATTTTCTGAACACTACGTACTTTTGGCTCGATGTTACCTGAAGCAGGGAGAGTGGCAAGTTTCCCGAAGGAAAGGCGACTGGAATCATGAAGTTGTTAGCGAAATTCTCGATTCATACCGAGCCGCTGCAAATTTTAACCCTAACTGGTACAAAGCCTGGCACTCTTGGGCACTGGCAAATTTTGAAATTGTCCAAGCTCTTGGCGAAAAAAGTGAAAGAGATCGTGACTTTGCCTTACCCCAGAGTATAATTATTGATTATGTTGTACCAGCTATCCATGGATTTTTTAGATCAATCGCATTATCTCAGGGTAGTTCATTACAAGATACTCTAAGACTTCTCACTTTATGGTTTGCTCATGGTGGGAGCTCCGAGGTAAATCTTGCAGTTACGGAGGGATTTGGTTCAGTGAGCGTTGATACTTGGCTGGAAGTAATTCCTCAATTGATTGCCAGAATTAACCAGCCGAATGCAAGAGTCCGGCAATCAATCCACAATCTACTTGCTGATGTCGGGAGAGCACACCCCCAAGCTCTCGTTTATCCATTAACGGTAGCAATGAAATCTGCACCCAACACAAGGAGATCTAGATCTGCAATGCAAATCATGGAAAGCATGCGACAACATAGTTCTAGGCTTGTCGAGCAGGCTGATATAGTTAGCCATGAACTTATTCGTGTCGCTGTTTTATGGCACGAACTTTGGCATGAGGGCCTCGAGGAAGCTTCACGCCTTTATTTTGGTGATAGAAATATCGAAGGTATGTTTGCGACACTAGCACCGCTGCACGACATGCTTGATAAAGGTCCAGAGACCTTGAGGGAAATTTCATTCGCCCAGACCTTTGGTCGGGATCTCCAGGAAGCTCGAGAATGGTGCAACACATATCGTACAACCGGTGATGTCTCCGATATTAATCAAGCATGGGATCTCTACTACCAAGTCTTTCGGAGGATTGCGCGTCAATTACCTCAACTTAACAACCTTGAACTAGCATATGTATCACCAAAACTCCTACACGCTCGTAATTTAGATCTTGCTGTACCAGGTACTTACGTTAGCGGCAAGCCTATCATCCGAATCGTTAACTTTGATACAACCTTTATCGTCATTTCATCTAAGCAGCGGCCAAGGAAACTTAGCTTACAGGGAAGTGATGGAAATACATACACTTTTGTTCTTAAAGGTCATGAAGACATTCGCCAAGACGAGCGGGTGATGCAACTATTCGGTCTTTGTAATACGCTCATGATAAATGACTCTGAGTCATACAAGCGACATTTAAATATACAGCGATATCCTGCGATACCACTTTCACAAAATTCAGGCCTTCTAGGCTGGGTTCCTAATAGTGACACTCTTCATGTGTTAATACGAGAATACAGAGAAAGCCGAAAGATTCTTCTAAATATTGAGCATCGCATCATGCTACAAATGGCGCCTGACTATGATAATCTTACATTGATGCAGAAAGTCGAAGTTTTTGGCTATGCACTTGACAATACAACTGGTCAAGATCTCTACAGAGTCTTGTGGCTTAAGAGTAAAAGTTCTGAATCTTGGCTTGAAAGACGCACTAATTATACACGATCTTTGGGTGTGATGTCGATGGTTGGGTACATCCTTGGTCTAGGAGATAGACATCCTTCTAATCTAATGCTCGACAAGGTCACAGGAAAAATTATCCACATTGATTTTGGTGATTGTTTCGAGATTGCCATGCATCGAGAAAAGTATCCTGAACGTGTTCCTTTTCGGCTAACCAGAATGTTAACTTACGCTATGGAAGTCAGCAACATTGAGGGCAGCTTTCGGATCACGTGTGAAAATGTCATGCGAGTTCTCCGTGACAACAAGGAGTCCCTTATGGCTGTGCTCGAAGCAGTAAGTCCTTTTCTATAATTAATTGATTGATAACTAATCTACATGAAGTTTATCCACGATCCTCTACTCAACTGGAGACTTACTGGCGGGGATGTCTCTCCTACAGGACCCAATTTTCGATCTGACAGCCGTGAGTCCCTTATTGTAGATCAAGTACGACGTGCATCGCTTCTTGCTACCGAGTTACCACCAAATATTGCAGATCACGTTACACAACCTAGTGGCCCACCATCATCTCGTGTAAGAGCGCGGACTAATTCATCTGCGCAAGGAAACGGATTGGCAGATACTGATGTCCAAGAGACCCAAAATGCGCGTGCGATGCAGGTGTTGCATCGTGTGAAAGAAAAACTCTCCGGAACTGATTTCAAGGCAGAGGAAGAATTAAATTACATAAATCAAGTTGATAAGCTCTTGAACGAAGCAACAAAGCTGGAGAATCTTTGCCAGCACTACATAGGATGGTGTAGTTTCTGGTAGAATATCAGGGTGAGATCAAGTCTACCATGGATCTAGCACATCTTAACACGGGTTGATGAGGCGGCGTTAACGAGCTTGGGATTGATGAGATGAGATAGGTTGATTTGGGGCTAAAATTATCACGGTTATTTTGTATCATACGCGTAGGACCTTGTATATGTAGCGAGGATTTTGCCCTGAATTGCAAACAATTGGCGGGTGGTCTGCGGTTCGGAGGCGTTCGGCGAGATGATTAAAGGTTTCCTTTGAAATGATCTAGCAAATTCTAACAAAGCTTTTAAAGGACACGCACCTTGCTATCAGCAGCATTGAATTAAGGGTCAGTAATCGAAACGAGATTTGCGTCTAAAGCAGCCTACACTTTTTATGCTATAGCAGGAGGAAGACGTTATATTAAAAATCTTGTGCAACTTCAAAAGGGTTGAGCTTCATGTACCATGAAAGGCCAAGTCCTACCAGGACTGAGCTTGTAAATAAGTTGGGGACTCGAGGCACATTGAACACGCATTACGTTGTTAGCAAGGAGTGTTCTGGGGCATACCCGGCAAAAGTCGGCTGAGCTGACCAACGGGATCAGCCGTACTTATAAGCGAAACTTGACAAGTGGATAATACTTTAGTTTTATGATTTAATTGTAGACAGCAGTCTACTTGTTATTGTGATTCATCTTTGATCAATCTCAGAGCCTTCGATTCAGACTTTCAGTCCCAGTTTACTGACGGAAGTAGTTGATTCAATCTTGGGTATAAATAAACTCAATATGGATTATTCACGTGATAAGACGCGGATGAAGAGCAGAAGTATGTTGTGATGTGATCATTGCATTTACTCTAAATTTATCTCTGCCAAGTGCCAGGGATACAACACATCTATGCGAGTACTACACATTGGAGGGCAAGACTGAACAACTGTGCGCGGTGTCCTCTACGAACCTGGGAGTGAAATATTCTCTCAGAGCCAAGTTCAGTCAAATTTCACAAAATCAAAAAAGTTGGCTCACGAGGCAAAAATCCAAATTACTCCACGTCGTTATTTCGCTCCCAACGAGTTTGACTCCTACCTAAGTCTCATCAAGTCTGCAATCACGACCAAGTACATCCTCATTTCAATGACCACACCTTTGTCGACTTTCTCTGGTCTCAGTTGACCGCTAAACACACGCCCACGCCGATATTTACACCAGACAGAGGAAGCAAAGCGTGGCGCACAAATCTGGGAGACAGTTCTTTGGTATGGACGTGAGAGAGACCAGGAAAAGTTTACAAGTTGATGCAAAGGGAGGAATTACCCTCGAAGGGCGTGAAATTATGAATTTTGGCAAAAGTTTTACGAATTGGGCTTTGTGCGAGCCAAAACTTCGCTTGCGAGAGTGCAGCTGACACTATAAAAACAAGCAAACGATGGAAGGTGTTGTGGTCCGGCTCCTGGTGGTGTAGTCTGAGTAGCCCACGCACCTACTTCACTTGGGAAGGAGACGCCTCAGACCACATTTCGCGCGGAGAAAAGTAAATGGATGACGGAGGCATGTCTGGATAACTCAGGGTTTTTGAGACGTTCCCCTCGTGGATATTCGCAGATGAGGGGTGACTTGGGGTGAAGAAAAAGCCGGCATAATTTCGCAGTGGTACTTGCAAGTGAAATCCAAGGCATGAGTGCTGTTCCTTTACGTTGAATCATCTATTCTGTACTCTTCTTTGATATTGTGTCATAGCTAGATAGCTGCATACGCAATTAAAATCTGATGCAAAAAACAAAAAAAGAGTACTGCACAGCCCTATATGGCCATCATTACGATCGACTATTGAGGCGCAGCTCTATAAAATGGCATAGTGTAATATGGGATATTATGGCATGGAATTAAGATTGTAGTACTTCCTGCATAGACGGTGATGTACTGTATGGCGGGCACCAAATATGTGTATATAAGTCTTATCTACTACTGTGATATGTAGATGAATATAACTAAGCTATTAATCATATCGTCAAGCTCTGATAATCGTTATCCACCCTCTGCACTATCCCTAGAATATTCAACATCTCATACCTACTCGTACCTTAATCATAACAAAGTAAGGGTTTGTATTTGTTTATTGTCCCATAAAGTCTACGACTGTGTGACGATATGTAGGTCCTTTCTTCCTACAGGCCGGGAGTATCTATGCCTCGGGTAGTGTACTCCCTCCTATGCCTCCTTCACGACTTTTTTGCAGCAATAATACCTCCTCAGGTCTTCATTCGAGTACACACTAAGAAGAGCCGTTATCCCGCCATTATCTCCCCCCTCCAGCCAACGAAACGATGGCCATTTGCGGGTGTGTAGCTGCAGGAAAAAGTCTCAGATACCACTGGGTGCGGGGCTCTCCTATGATGGGGAGGCCAGCCGAGCGCAGCAGACCTGTGTATACCTGAGAGTGTCTCTCAAACTTCCTAGCTTTCTAGCTTCCTAGCTTCCTCCTTTCTCTTTCCCCGACTCATGCCGCAGGATAAACCGAAGGTTGTAAAAAGATGTCATAGAAGTCTTGGTCGAGAGTGACTGTCGTGAAGGAGCCTAGCCTAGCATCCAAAAGTCGTTACGGACGCGGGATCGTCGGGTAACTCATGTATTTCAGATGCCCTCCTAGCTAGTAGATTCGGAAGTTAAGATTAGTAGGGACGATATTGCAGACGAGTCGAAATCTGCTTTTCTTCAGGGTGGAAGGGTCTTTTACTTTGCTTTCGTGGGCTTTTTGTTCGCCCGCCGGTGGGTAGCACTTGTTGCGATATAACGAGGGCTTCTCTGACTACCGTTGTAGCGTTTGGTACCGCATTATCTTCCATCATGCCCAGCATCATTATCATTATTATCATCGTTTTGGTCGTCTTATGTGTCATCGGAAGCGTATCTTTGACGGAGGGGGAGATAACTCAGCTCAAAGCTGATAAGGTGTTACTCAATCTCGGCTCCGCAGACTCTACAGTGAGAGCTGGAGATTAGTAGGGGACACCACTGACAGGTGTTGAGAATAGCCCCCCAGACTGTAGTGATAGAAGAACAAGATAAGACAGTAGCCGGCAAAGACGAATTCTCCATCTTCCAGTGGTGTCGGAGTAATCGCTCAGTATGCTTTGTATATCTAGGATAGCTAAGAAGAATCACATCCGAATCGGAGTTGAAAGCAAACACAGACACATCTACAATCGGCTACTTCTCATCAATGTCGGTATTGTCATTCTCACGAGGGTCCTCTACCTTACACTCACCCTCGATATCTATAAGAACAAATTTTGGCACATTTCAAATTTAAATTTCTCGAATGTAATTAGAATCTTTAGTTAGATTCACCAAGTCCTTCACAGTCTTGGACTCAGTAGGGACTATAATAAAAATCTAATCTAATATAATCGACCTTACCCCTCCACACGCGACCTCGCCTCAACGACCATTAAATGCATTGCTCAAATTGTAAACAGGAGCTTGCCTCATTTGTCACTGATCATCACTCACTACAAACCTACAACGCTAAGTATACCCGCAAAGATGAAATCAAGTCATGAAGTAAAAAGTTAGGGACTTGATTTGTAGGGGACTGATGCTCTAATTGGGTTATACATATTGAAGAAGGACAGGCGAGTGGGGCGTGGAAAGATATAGGGGTGACCCCAACCTCCTCCTTGGTGCATCTGGCTTTTGACATGTGACCAAAGTGAATCCCCGATCACCAGTAGTTTATGCCGTTGGATGTTACAGATGAGCTTCTCACATTAGTAGTAAATTGTCATTCACGTTGTCTAGCATGCAGAGCCAGGAAGATGAAACAGGCTTGTGATAAATCCGATACCCCAGTCACAACATTCATCCGTAGATTACCCCTGAAAGAGACTAGCTACGGCGCTATCCGGAAGTGTGTGTGTTTTATTGTACTACTTGAATCTTTGACTATCTAGCACATTGGGCTCCTCTCTGACCTAGGCCATACATTGTACAGTGCTCCTATCCTCTTTTGTTACTTGAAAGATTATTGATACATTGCCTGTGATGAATAGCTATTCAGCTCAGTATTTACCCGTGGAATTCAGCCACCTTTTCCACGGAACCTTCTACCCAAAAAAAAAAAAAAAAAAATGGTAGCAATGGAAACTGCGTGCCCGGGAAAAAGTCTCAAAAAACCTGCAGCCCCAGCCAGGCGAGGCCTAGACACCGGGACCACATGAGGTGCGCATATTCATCTATGTCTCCCTTCTTTGTAACAGTCGAGGCCGACTTGATCCAATCCGCCATCTCCGTATCGGGTGCTGGGTACGCTCCGGAAACTCATCAGATAGCTTCTCCTCCATAATCAAGAATTGGTGATAAGAAGAGCTTCAACCTTACCATCTGATCTGATCGTGGTTAGCTTCATGATGTTGGTGATAAGGGGTTGTGCGGGATGAAGACGATACAGACTGCGCAAACGATTAGGAATCCTCGTCGAAGTGAGGGCTTTGTTACTCAACCTCGGCTCTGTAGACTCTGCAGTAAGAGCTGGAGGTTTGTAGGGGACACCACTGACAGGTGTTGAGAATAGTCTCCCACACCCACCATGTTGTCGCACGTGGGTTTTTAATGTGAGAATTGGGTAGATTGATCGAAAAAAATTTAGCACAGAAGTCAAATTAATGAGAAAGTCAACCTGAAGCGCTGCGCAGCTTTCTAGCAAAAATGATGTCTTTTGATGTTTCGAGATCTAGTTCACAAATTCCTCTCATTAACTGTATGCGGCTCACATGTAATGTTGATCTCAGGGCCCGCTTAATCACAGCACTGTAAAATACCTTTCTCTAATAGATGCCCCTAGTCTGTATTGTTGTTATACTTGTATTATCATCACTTTAGGAAATCAGAATAAACTTCGTATGCTTTGTTCGAGAGTTCAGATCACGATCTTATTTCGTGACATTTGATGTGCAATTCAAGCTCATGATCTAGGCTTGAGACGTAAATGGTATGGAAAGAAGTTTCATTAGATCTTATTCTTCCTGCTGTAAATTTGAGTGCACAAACGTCTTGCATTGCTCCCGAATTAATATGAGGATTAGATACAGTTAATAATTAAAAATTTAAAAGTTTTCAAATGATTCATAGGATGATACATGAGAATAGCTGTGCTAACATAGTATATCTGATGAATAATTACCTAAAGCTCTCACGCTAAAATTTCGCCAAGAACCCTTGTTCAGGATATTTTACGTTCAGTGCAATTAAATTTGCTACGGTAGATGATTTTTTTCCATCTCTTGAGCATCAAATGAGCACTGAAAGTTTTCTTCTATAAGATAAGCCAATAAAACATGACTACTTTTCACGTGCCCAAGTATTGTGAGCAATTTAAATAAGTTGATACCAAGATTGCGAAATTTTCACTCACAGCCCTACTGTGATTAATTTAATTTTAGTAGGCTATTACAAGTAGAAATTGTTGCAACCGTAAACTCAGCCTTCCGAGTACTTTCCTGTTGGACTGACAGCAGTTCCACACTTTTTTTTCTGAGTAATTAGAGCTTCAAGCTCACGGACTTTTCGCTTCAGGATCTCATTCTCTTTCTTTACGTTTTCTAACTCCATTCTATTTTGAGCTATTTCCTCAAATCGACTACCTAGTTGCATTTCTCTCTCTCCACCTGCAGGGGTGTGATTTGGTCCGCGAGAAGTAATGTCTCTTTGGGAAAATGTTTGCGAGGAGTGGGATTGACTAAGATTGGGTGAGGACTCTTCACTGAAAGCTGTATATCTCGAGCCTGGCATAGGACTTATTGGCCCACTGAAGCTTGGAGTTGAAGTATTCCACCTAGCCCAAGATTCATGCCTGCCAGTATTTGGTATGACGCCAGATAAGCCTAGTCCTGTGACGCCATCGGATCTTCCAAATCCAGCTCGTCCGTTAGGTCGACTTGCGGTAGTTCCTTGCGAGATAGGTATTGGGTTAGTTGTAGCAGCACTTCGAACGCTATTCCCACTCGAGCTTCGGTGGCGGTTAAACCGAGAATTGGTGGTCTGTGAAAACCCAGAATGATTCTGGTTAGCATTATTGCACTCGCTTCCATCAAGGAATCCAGTGGTAGATGTAGAGGAGGCGTTCGATACTACAGAGGCATTTTGAGCTGATCGAAGAAGAGACAATTCTCTGGTTAGTCGATTAACCTGTTATTGATAGCATTAGCTCCTAATTTGTATCCCATAGGAACAGAATAGCTATGGGATCAAACATACGACAGCTTCTTGTTCTTTTTCTAACTGTGCATAGAGATCAGCTGCAGTTAATGGTTTTGGGTGTCTCGCCGGTCCCGGACCAACTTCTATGCCTGCCAAGTTCTGTGCAGTTGTGTTGCTGCTTGGAAGGGGCAAATGAGGTGCTGCGGCAGCGCCTGTCACAATTGGCTGGTTGGAGGGTAGCACATTCGTCAAACTAGAGGTGTGAGCCCGAGGTACAGCATCTTCATGAGAGGATCTTTCGGAAGTTTGACATGAGGATGTGGGGCTGCTCATGTTTATATTTCTGTTGATAGAAAGAGGTGGAGAGAAAGAATTATGTTCAGTGTGGGAAGTCATCAACATTCATTGAAAGTCGATCAGAATAGCCAGCAGTTGTAAGAAGAACCGATGAATAGACTAATGAGAGGGAGGGTCGAATAAAGTATTGCAAATTATTTGCATCATCATATAAACATCTATCCGGTGAAACCGCGTAGTACTCGATTATGAGTCCCGATCTGGTTAGAGGCTGGGCAGTCTAAGCATGTTCAAAGGCATTTCAGGAACACCGCTGGAAATAGCGGGATCTACCTCATCTCATGCGCTTATGCGACAAAAAATTAATAAACTATGAAAATGCAGATTTCAACAATGCTCATTCGCAATTTTAGGGTAATTTAATTTTCAAATACCACACACGCTCTCTTGTTCAATAAGGCCTTCCGCCAGATATTATGAGTAGCAACTAGCTGTGCAATGCATAGCGCCTGGAAACTAAGAAATTTGGGATTTGCACAGCCGGGCTCGCGTGTAACGATTCACAAATAGCAATGCCTGACGACTGAAGTGTCAATATTCTAGTAAGCAGAAGTTACTGCTTGTCCAGACTTCCACAAAGACATTGGTACCCGCAACGATTAAGATTGTCGGTAACCTATACTTAAGTTAAACCGAATGTTAAATGTGATAACAATTGAACCCAAAACTATTTGTGATACTATATCTCATAATTCAGATATTATGTGCTTTCCTGGAAAGATGAATGATAAATTTTCTCTTTTCTCGCCATTTAAAGGCTCTCTAACGTAAAACATGCATTCAACGACCTAAAGGCCACCCTAATTTAGAAATACAACAGGTTGTGTCATTTTTTGGGTTGAATCCTCTAACTCAGCTTAGAGAAAATGGTTATTATCCATCTGTGAGTTAAAGCCCTAGATATCACCCTCCGCCATTGGTCTTAGACATGAATGCGAATCAAGGCCCAGTTCCCCCCTTTAAGTGGAGTAACATGAAGGGCCCAGGCACCAGGTTCATCTCACCAAACTATGCCCGATGACTCATCTATTTATCGGGCATCCCTGGTCAGAAAGAAGAAGTTATGTTGGTAGTCATAAAGTTTGGTTGGGTGGGGCCAATTTTAGCCAATGTGTCTATCTGCTCCACAATCCTGAGGGGAATGACATCATACTACATATTTCATGCCCATTTCTATCCAGGTATTTTTAGAGGGGTTTAAAATCAATTATTAATTGATAAAGATCATTGTGGATAGAATTGAACAACCAAGTCAATCTTAAATTTGTTGTCCCATTTTCCTTGCGCCCTGTGGCCTGCAGGACAAGTTTATATTTTCATTAGATTCAAAGCCCTATGAGGCTCTTAATTATGCTTTGGGATGCTAAATTGAGTCCAAAATATCACGGAGCATAGTGAGCTTCTAAATCCGCGCAATGAAAAACATAGCAATTATCCATCGTGCCTTTGGCTGACACCACAAATAGAATTTGTTTCATCTTTCTTTGTTGTGCAAGGACGTGGGGGCGAATCTCCAAAACCCACGACTAGTCCCGCACAATAGTCATTTCTATCTCTGCAAATTATGCAGCATCTAGATCGCCTGGGAACCTATCCGACTTGAGAAGGATGATTATAATTTCTGTTCTCAAAAGATAAAACCACGCTTGTCATGGTAATTTTGAATGGGATGATGGAGGCGAGTCTGGATACTCGTGGAATTCGAGGGTTCCTCTTACAAGCTAATTCCTAAAATGGAAGGGGAAAATCTCTACATCAATGTGTGAGGAATGTAACAGTTGGAGGCTATATAGGAAGGACAGGAGGGTACGTACTTGTAGGATAGGTTCCTAAGTCTGTAGGTAGAAAGGACGTACATTTCCTGTATAGTCATAAACTATAGACTACAATACAATTAATGAATTTGAATTCATTTAGCCCTGTTTAGCGCCCTATGGTCTAGTGCAAGCGGTTATAACCTATCTATATACTTATATTGTGGGAAACCTCTCCAGACCTCTCAATTATTTATTGAAATATCCATTTCAATCCTCAGGTAGCAGAAATACACTGTGATGCCGTTTCTGTGTATCAATCACATCTCCAGTATTGACTCTAGTCTTTAGCCCATCCTGTTTCGTTACCTCTGCAGCATTTCGACTTACAATTAATGATTTTATAGCCTAGACTAGGCTCATGCTGGCAAAGACGAATTCTTCACTTTCCAGTGATGCCGGTGTTCTGGCTTGGTATGCTCTGCATATCTGGGATAGCCAAGAAGAATTGCAATCGAATTGAAGTCGAAAGCAACCACAAGCACATCTAAAATCGACGACTTCTCGCCAATGTCGGACCTATCATTCTAACACGAGTTCTCTACCTTAATCTTGCTTCATCATCTCGTAGCAACTACCGATAAAATCGTTTCTCCAGTTGAAATCGGAAGTTTGTCTCATCAGTCACCAGCTATCTCTCACTACAAAATTATGATGCTATGTATATCCGCATTGAGGAAAATAAACTATGAGGTATGGAACTCGAGGTTAGGCATATGGCGGCTGCTACTACAATAGGGCTATTTATCCTGAGGGAGGACTTGTGAGGGGTGGTACTGTTTGAGGGGAGCTGAATGGGAGGGATAGGATGGTATATACTACTGATATAGGTATCTTTGGCCTGTAGTTAGAGAGGACCTGCATGTCCTACATAGTCATAGACTCAGACAGGAGAATAAAATGAATTAATAAATAATAATAACACTTTCTCATGGATCAGCCGAAAACTTAGTGTTGGTGCAGATAAATATTCCAATATAGAAAATCCCTCGGAAAACGTCAGTCCCATCATGCCGATTAGTGGCTTCTTTCCTCTATTATTCCACATTACAACTGTCCATCCTCCCTTGGTACAGCCCCGTCAAAGCAACGGTTCTCCACAAGCCAGATCCCAATTTTTTTATCTAGAGGCTTAACTCCTCCTTGCGGGTGCACATAAAATCATAATTTTGTATTGGGAGATGACTGGTAATTAATGGGTCAAGCTTCCATTCTCAATTGGATTGACTCCTTTACTCATCGTTGAGGCAAAGTGGTGGGAGAAAAGATTAAGATTGAGGACTCCTATGAGAATAGTAAGACTGACATTGATAGAAAGTTATCCAGTAGAGATATGTCCGTCTCTTCTTTCAACTTTGATTCGGTTGCGATTCTTATTGGCTATCCCAGATGTGCAGAGTATACTGACCGATTACACCGGCACCACTGGAAGGTGAAGAACTTATTTTTACCCGTAGAAGTTTTTGTGATGAAGGGGACTGAATCCTATGGGTAAATACGGAGCGAAATTGGGTTCAATCATGGGAATTATCTCAGATATTTTTTTCGTAAAGAAAGAGAGGGGAACCGTACAAAGTGTGGCCTTGGTCAGAGAGAACCCAGCGTGTTAGATAGTCTCACTCAATTGGTACAATAAGCACATATATTAATTAATTCATCCAGTAAATATGTACGAAGTACTCATGTTTAAGCTAGTGGCACACAGAGGGTGTCAAGTATTTTCGCTGATATCGACAGAGATAAGCCTTATATTCAAGGCAATAAAATATTTTGAAGACATCAGTATCAAACATCTGTTTTCTCTTCCTCCACCTGGCTTTCAAACGACAGGCTGAAAGAGGACTCAACCTTCGCTACCATTTTGCGCCCATAGATCAATATATGACATGTCTCAATTTTTCACATCACCGACGAGCGCACCGCCATATCCAAGTCCGGCTAGCACTTCTCAAAATCTACAGTTTTATCCATCCTCATACACTCCAAGCCAAGTTCCAGGTCGTGATACTCCGTCCCACTCTACATACGGTGCATATCGAAATTCAGGTAGCCCTGGATACGGTTATGGTGGAAACTTTGCTGCTCATTCTGGAGTGAGTGGGCGTATGGGCGAGCAAGGCGGACTACGAATGGGATGGCTAGCAGCTTTTGGGACAGAAGGTTATGATGGAGAGCCAGCATTACTAGAAGAGTTGGGTGTAAATTTTGAGCATATCAGGTCGAAGGTAAATAGGTTGCAAACACCTTGTCCCCCTATCATGAATGACGGCCCGTCATTGTGGAGGACGCACTACATTTTGAGACCATATGGTTGACCATCAATTAGACTTTAGCCGTACTCAACCCACTCGCACGAATCGACCAACATCTAATGGATGATTCGGATCTAGCTGGCCCAATTCTCTTCTTTCTGCTATTCGGTACTTTTCTCTTATTCAGCGGGAAAGTACATTTCGGCTACATCTATGGCTTAGCCCTTCTTGGCTCTGTCTCTTTGCATACAATTCTTTCGCTCATGTCACCATCGCCGTTTTCACCACATGCAACCCGGTCTCAACCACCCTCGCCACAATCATCTTCTCATCTGAATTCCAGCCTCACTTTTCCACGGAGCCTTAGCGTTTTGGGGTACTGTCTACTACCCTTAGTTTTTGTGTCACTGGTAGGTGTTGTCCTACCAATGGAGGGAATGACTGGCTACTTATTGAGTACTATGGCTATAATTTGGTGTACATACAGTAGTAGCGGCATATTCTGCACTGTAGGTCGAATGAGTGGCATGAGAGGGCTGGTTGCGTATCCACTCGCTTTGTTTTATGTTGGATTCGGAGTAATGGGGGTATTCTCCCGGGGTGGGCCTAAGGTTTTGAGTGGAAAGGGTGTTTCGTGAGTATTCTCGTGGTTGAATCCCTATAGCTCACATCAGAACAATCCAAATCTGGTTCCAAAGTAAGCCAGATATCACTAACTAGCTCGAGTAAGATAATTATGCTATCCAAATGTCTCTACTTAAGTGCACATATATTCAAGAAAAGCTTGAGACGAAAATCAGGGCTAAGACCTAACTCTTCAAGATGATTTAGTTTTCACGCAAAGCAAAGTAGTCCATTCATAAAGATTATTATAAACTGTAACCTACACAGATTTCTTCAACCTTACCTGTGAAGAAAGCATGGTAAACTATAATACTATTGTTATAATTTTATTAAAAGAATAATATTTGACGCAGATTTTAATACCAATTAATTAAAGTCAGTCTATTATCATTTTAGCGTCATCTGAAATACACCAGTCACCGTCCCTAGGCCTTGCATGTGTTAAATCATCATCCAGATACTTAGATAGAGGAACACTCGGGGCGCACGAGCGGTGGCGCCAAACGATCCTGTTTGCAGAACTAATGACTGGAAGATTAATTTTAACACTTGCATGACTATTACTTACACATAGCGGCGCAGTATCACCCTTACTTGTAAAAGAGCTCCATATACTTGATTTCCGCGAGCGTGTAACATTTGAAGTGCGAGAGTCTGGTGTCCACTCGCTACTCTGCACACTTATGGTATCAGTAGGAGTGTGGCATATGTGGGAAATGCTGGCAGCGGAATATGGCGGTTTGATAGAATTGACACCTGCGAAATATTTAAGTGATGCAGTTATAGCTCCAGGTTTAGGTGCTTCCTTTGCCGGAGGAGCGATCTCCACAAGTTCAGCGTCTCGATACCATTTCCTGCGACGTGTATAGCGACTCCAGCCATCAAGGCCCCGGCGACCGAATTGCCACTGAGATATTAGTCAGTTTTGCATGGAGCCAAATTTTCGAAGTGTTGGGAGACTTTGGGTGGCTTTACCTTATTATCATAGTATATCCATCCCATCCCTCCATCAGAGTTATCACCAGCGTTTTGGCTTCCTTCTTCTGTTTCGCATGCTCCTTCAACCAGCCACTTACTTCCTTCGACCCACCTCCAACATGTAAATTCTTCTTTAGTGTCGGGTAACTCGAAATTTTCTTTTGTTGGAGCAGGGTTAAGATGTTCATCAGTCCAAGTGGCACGTTCATGAGAGAAGAGATTAGTGGTCCATCCTAGTCCGACCCATCTTCGCTGATTTTCGTAAAGGACAAACGTGAATCGAATACCAGGCATTTTTGAATTAATCTTTATGTCTACAGCTTGCGTTAATTCACGATTTTTATTCTCGAAATTAGATGACTGTTTTTCTTGTTGCTTGGCCGGTTGTAAGATATTATCTGTATTTCGTACCTGAGAGTCGCAAGGAAGATTCTGAGATAATTCTAAACCAGTTATCGAAGATGAGAGTCGACGTACAAGAGCACTTCGCCACAAAATAGCACGGGTGATACGGCAAGGCTTAGAGTGCCATGTTAAGAAAATAGTTCCAAATACAAGAATAAAACGTCTGGGGGTAATTATTTCGATAGGTCTAAGATTAAGAATTACCCATATTAGAGATATAAAAAAGATTCGTATGAAGAGAGATGAAGAAAACTTTGACTTGGAAGGATTTTTTGTTTTTATTAAAAGATAATTGGTAAGTGTTAAGAAGGGATCCAGCAAGATATGACATCGAGAAGCAAAAATTCTCAGTGTATTGACAATCTCCTCTAAAGTCTTTTGCTGCTTGACCTTTTTCGCGTTTCCTGTGGAAGTATCATTAGCTTTTTTGGCCGTTGATTCACTGGTCAAGAGAGAAGTTAACGGTGCGTATTGTTGGGCATAGATTCCGATAATCAGGATGGTAAGAATGATAAAGGGACCGGCAAGTTTCATAGCTATATCTCCGTATAGAATTGTTGCCCAAAATGCTGTAACTAGCAGGAAGCTTTCCCATGGATCCCCAGAGGTCCAAGTTAACAACCCGACTGCTTTATTTAATGTTTCAAGGAAAGGGTGCGAATATACTAGAGCTCTAGTGACTTGTGGTGGTGTAGCTGACAGTAATGGTGATTTTCGATGTATAAGTATCGTTGAGTGTTTGCCATTTACTGAAAAGGTATTTGATAGAGTGGAAGGCGAAAAAACTGCTCGAGTTGGTGCGTGTGGATCAATAATTGTTGTTCCCTCGTTACCTTCTTTTTGACAAGATCCTGGGGTAGAAGACATAACCCATGGAGTTTCCTATCGAGGTTGTAAGATGCTGTTTTGCATTGAGGAAGTGTACATACGAAAGCTGCCATCAACGCTGGTCATTGCCGCAGGGCACGCAAATAGTAACCGACTTCACAAACGAGATAACTATATCACAAGCCGAACTAGCATGGAGCGCCGACGAGAATTGCAAAGCCTTTAGCGTGTACAAGAGCACAAGTCTTAGTAATTTGCGGAAAGTATGTGACGATAAGTGTGATTAGATTAGCCTTCAACATCACAAGCAACTGGAAGGGTGATTTCGCAATAGGTTATGGCAGCCTCACCCATTCTCTTTTGAATCTACATTCCGGGGTGGATCTAAATGCTAAGCCTTTGGCCCGATAACGTTAGTTCGAACCTCGCCTTAGTTCATGTGTTCTCAGCCTTGTCACGTGCTGGTCGCGCTATAAGTTAAATATACTCGTTCGATACCCATTTCAGGATTTTGCCGGAGACATCACATCAACCATGGTCAGGACAAAGAACAAAAAAAAAACGGTCAATCCCAACAACGGCGCTGTGATGTCTAGACAGTCACCGCTACCTCGTGGCACACCGCCATCCGGACCACGTCGTGTGTCCGGACGTGGTGCGGCAGCCGGCGATTCATATCGTCCTCGTGCAGGTGGAGATCTAGTCTCCAGAAGTGGCCAGAGACAGCAAGAATATCCATATCAAGGAAGTTCCGACAACACTTACCGACCTAATTATGATCGAAGGTCTCTATCTCCACGGGCTAACCCTTATCACTCACCGCATGAAGATTTTCGTCGAGATCCACCTTATAGATTTGGGTCCGGAAATAATTTCGGTAGCCGTGAAGATAATTTCAGCTTCCGCTACGACGCACCACCCGGAACTCAATTTCGAAATCCTGACCGTCAACCCAACGCTGAGACCCGAAATAATCCACAGGGTCCAGCGAGACAGAGTAACAATAGCAAGAGTTCAAGCCGTGGTGGGTACGCATATGCTGGCCGTGCTTCACGCGTAGCTTCAGATAGAGAGTTTCTCCGCGCCAATAGGGCACCTACGCCAGAGCTGCTGTCGGGAATGGACGCTGACTCTGGTAATGCCGTTAAGTACTTGCCTCTCGAAGATCTTTCAGATAGCGATGAGGCTGAAATGGAAGTTTCCGGTAATGAAATTGCGGGTCCTGAACGTAAAAAACTCCGTACATCTGATAAAGTTGATGACAATATTCCTCTCTGGTCACAACGTGACAGTTTTGTCGAGACTAATGATGAAGAATCGCACGGAACTTGTAAGATTGAAATTACCTCGCAGGAAAATAATCGTGACGAGATGAATATAAAATCTCACCTCCAAGATAAAAAGGACGGTGACAGTGTTCCTCGTTGGTCTAATCCTGACCCGTACACAGCTCTCCCTCCACCGGATGAATCTCAAAGAAAGAAAAAAGATGTTGTGAAGCTGATTCGCAAAGCTCGCATCAATTCTGATAACTCTAATAAGCCAGAGGCTCCTACTGACGATTTTATTTCGTTTGACTGTGGAGACGAAGAAAATATTCTACCACCAATTACCTTACCTGAAATTCCTCTTGGGCCCCGAAACAGCAAACCCAAGGATGAAAGGCATGAAATTAATCAAAAATCTAATCGAAACCCATTAGCGAGTTCCAATTCCATTCTCACTTCTGACATAACATCACGACAGATAGAATCTAAAAATAACCTGTCTCTCCCAGAAAAGCCAAAGTTGGCTGAAATCGTAGAAAGAAAAAACCCACGTATCGATCTGACACCTAACACAGATCTTGGCTCCAGAAAGCGTAACGCTAATGATGAGATCAAACAGCCACCTATAATCCATCAGAAAGGAATTCAACCAGCCCCTGATGGTCGGATACTAAGTTCTTGGCTCTCTAAAGATAGTGTAACTAACTGTCCATGGATCCTAGATCACTCGTTGACGTCTAACATGGGACTGTGGTAAGTTCGCAAATCCATGCAATAACTAGAAACTTATCCAAATAGGCTACACAAGGAGATAGTAGACTTTTATCACTATGTCAAACCAAAATTCTTTGAAAAAACTGTCCGAGGGAATCTGGTTGACGATCTACGACGTAGAGTGAAGAACTTTGATAGAACTGCCGACATTATTCCGTTTGGATCGTTTCCCGCCGGCTTATATCTTCCAACTGCAGACTTAGACCTTGTTATGGTATCTGATCGTTTCATGCAAGGTGGTCCTCCAAAATTTGGTAGTAGTCCCATGCAGGTTCGAAAATTTGCCTATTTTCTCGAGCAAGAGCGTGTCGTCCTTAAGGGATCACAAGAGTGTGTCGTTAAAGCAAAGGTACCTCTCGTAAAGTATGTTGATAATATTACTGGTCTAAAAGTGGACATATCGTTCGAGAATACTACAGGCTTAGTTGCCAATAAAACATTTCAATGTTGGCGAGAGACATTCCCTGCCATGCCCATCCTTGTTACTGTCATTAAACAGTTTCTTGCCATGAGAGGCCTTAATGAGCCAGTAAATGGCGGCATTGGCGGGTTCTCAGTTGCATGTCTCGTTGTAAGTCTTTTACAACAAATGCCTCAGGTCCAAAGCCGATCAATGATCCCAGAGCATCATCTTGGGGAAATACTTATGGAGTTCTTTGACTTATATGGTAACCGTTTCAATACTATGACTACTGCCATATCTGTAAATCCAGCAGGGTATTTTAACAAAGTGAGCCACCTACCTAGAATTAATTGACCTCACTAACACATATAGTCTGAGCTTAATATTACGTATAACAAACCAATGGACAAATTCTCCATCATTGATCCTAACAACCCTGCCAACGACATAGCTGGTGGCTCGAGAAATTCAGTCACAATCAAACGTGCATTTCAACACGCTTACAGCGATTTACAACGGAGAATGGGTGAGTTGCAGTATCTTGATCCGAGCAAACGTCGCCTCAAAAGCGTGCTCAGCTGTATTATTGGCGGTAATTACAATTCTTTCAAATTACAACGAGAACATCTCGCCCATGTACATGAGAAAAAAATCGGGACTACCAAGAATTCCGGATAGGATATGGCCCCTTTAAATAATCAAACTAAATCAATTTGTTTGTATGACAGGTAAAGCAATTGTCTAAAAGCTATAAGCAGAAGGTCTAAGAATTTAAAATGAAATAATTGGTATGGGTTGCTGGTCTATTTCCTGGCGTAAGGTATTAATAATATTAAGCGGAAAATCAGAGATACCCAGGAACAAAGCCTTTCCCCACTGAATATAAAGTTCACTTGTATTTTAATTACTGTTCGATTCGCTTAGACGTGGCTTTGGTAGGAAGATTTGTTTCCTTGGCGCCAAATTATCAGCTAGTTTTGATTCACATAAGCCACTGACATGGACGCAGTGATTCACAAAAGTTAGCTCCGCAGCTCCCTGGAAACTCAGATATTATTTTGTAACAAAACCGTCAACTTATTATGTGTCATTTACGAGAATTAGGAGTATCTAATAGTTTTCCCTTATCCCAAAACTTTAGGGATCAGCATTTAATCTTCCACTCTATCGGAACTAACGCTCATTAAAATTAGGTTTGCACCGAATGTATTGTCAAGATAAATATGTAGGAATTATCAGCCTGACCTCTGCGGCGCGAAGAATTTATTTTCAAAATCCAAAGATCTTTGGTGGTACGTCTAATACTGCATCTACGAGTTGAATAATCATGTAATTCTGCCACATGAAATCCATCAACCCATCAATCGAAGTATGAAATTTCTCACTGTAGTCGCACACCTTGTACGCTACGGAGAGGAATTGGGGAAGCATCTGCACTCTTGTTGAGCAGAGTTGGGTCAAGGTGGAGCTCTCTTTGGGGAGATTGAGCTCATTGATTTTCTCCTCAGTGGGTAGTCTATCTAGGTATTATATAAGTATTGGGAGTATCTTCATAATTACTACCAATCCAAAACATAGGCTTACTATTAAAATTATCCATGTGGTGCTCAAATATCAGTCCCTTATATGGTTCTAAAATTGGCTATTTTCATTCCATCAATGTCAGATTTCAGGTCTAAGGCTTGATTATGGATAATAGAAGGAATTCTGTGTAATAAGTGATTGAATGACTCTATTTTAACTGCCAGATATAGAGTACTAACAAAAGGGAAATACACGCAGGAGATTGACTTTCTGCCTAATTGCTAGTTGCAAAATTTACATGACATAATTCTGGCTCTTGTTGCATCAATCTCGTTAAGTCGCTTGTGAACCACTCAATTTAGGCGCCGGTAAAGACAAATTCTTCACCTTCCAGAGGTGCCGGTGTAATCGCTCAATATGCTCTACATATCTAGGATAGCCAGAGAGAATCGCATCCGAATCGAAGTGGAGATCAACCCCAAGCACATCTCCATTTTACGACTCCTCGATAACACCTCTATAAACGTTCTCATCTGAGTCCTCAAACTCTTTCTAGTTACATATCATCTCGCCTAAAAGAACAATAAAGAAATTGCTCTAATTGCAAATAGGAGCTTGCCTTATTTTTTAACCGCCACAGCCCACTACAAATCTATGACGCTAAGTATACCCGCAAGGAGGAAATTAAGTCATAATGTTCAAAGTTGGGGTCTTGGTTTATGGGAGACTATTGCTCTAATGGAGCTATACATCTTGAAGAAGGATAGGCTAGTGGGGCGTGAAAAGATGTAAGGTAGAGACCACCTGTGGAAATAATAGGTCTAATATTTTCGAGATGTTTTCAACTTCGAAACGTTTGTGGGCGACAAGACCTAGGTTTTGGCAAATTAGCTAGGAGGGCTTCATTGTCTGTGAATCAACGGAACTTTTCAGAGCCCTGAACGACACAAAAGAAATTAGTGTAAGCTACTATACAGCAATCACGCTCTGTCAAGACTTTTGTGACATTTCAGCACGTCCTTCGGGAAAGTGTTGAAAGGAGGCTAGAAAGGCGGAGTGTGGATTTCCTGAGGTACCCACAAGTCTGCAGCGCCCAGCTGGCCGACCTCTTCGAACGCTTCAGAAGGATCACTATGTCTTCGGATATAGTTCTAATGTCGGTATTAGGAGAGCTCCGCACCCAGTGGTTTTTGAGACTTTTCCCAGCAGCTCAACACCCACAAATGACCATTATTTTGTAGGCTTGAGAGGAAGATAATGAAGGGCTAAGGGCTCCTCTAAGTTTATGATAGAATGAGGACTTGTGAGTGGTGGTACTGTTTGAGGGAGCTGTATAGGAGGCATAGGAAGGGATATAATTGTCACAGGGGCAGCTAGTTGGGGTGTAGTCACGTGATAATTATGGCGTAACTAAGCGAGGATACTTAGATTTAGATCTCTGCTTGTAGATTAGTTTCGTTCCTCGTGCAACTACAATTATATATTCTGAACATCCGAGTAATTATACAACGCCAGCCCGTGATAGTTAGTTGCACCTTTCTTCGCACGCGCTTCATATCAAATTTTAGGCTACCAGGAATAATTATAGCGCGTAGTGATTTAAAATAAGCCTTATGGTAGACTCAGAGATTCAGAGATTTTGCCACTAAACCGAGACCGAGTAAAGACCGAGATATATATCATAATCTGAGACAAGATAGGACTGAGTAATTAAAAAAAAAAAAAAAAAAAAAGGATAATCCTTGGGGAGAAGACAGCAACATTGAATCCGCTCCTTCATACACTCGTGACGATAGATATGAGAGGGCCTGGAGAGCTTTAGTGGAGGTGATAACCAAGTACCCTGCAGTACAAGAAATTTTTATTGACGTCAATTTTGAAAAGAAAGTCGACCTTTCTATATTGGCTAATGCCCCGGCAGAAGTGAAAGATATTTTCCATGAACTTTTCGGACTTATTAATAGACACTGTGTGGCCCAGAGGCAAACTCTACATACCTTACAAAGGACGAATGAGGAGAGAAACGACGAGGTTCAAAAACTAAGATCAGTGTACAACAAACAGAAAAATGAAATCTCGTTGCTCAAAAGTCAATTATCCGAGGTTCCAATTAAAGAACAGAAACCCCCTTCCGTAGCTCCCACAGTTCCCCAAGCTTCTGTCATCCAACAGCACCCGGCGCAATCATTTCCGCCAAGTATGATTTACTTGGAGAAGCCACCATCCATAGACCCTTTCTCAGGTGATCAGAAAGACGTAGTAAAAAGGCACAATGATTACAATGCTTGGAAGTTTAAACTAATCTCTAAGTGGAATACTAGCGGAGGGAACTTTGATTCTGAGTTCAAGAAGATCTGTGATGCAATCAATTGGCTCAAAGGCGATGCTTATACTCGCCTGCAGTCTAAAATTGCTTTATTTTTCTCAAGTACCGATGACCCATCAGGCTGGCCATGGTCTACTTCTGCAGAACTTTTCCGAGAACTCGACAAAAAATATCTTACAGCTGACATACGCGCTATAGCCAGAGGAAATTTGAATGATCTGAGAATGACTGGGAAATGGAAAGACTTTCCATCATTTATTTCATAATTTGAAAGACTTGCAGATCAAGGAGAACTTAGCTCTTCCATGCGAGTATATCATCTCAGGCGTAAGGTTTCCGAACCTCTACGAGTGGCGGCAAAAAATCATATTCCCCTGCCTTCCGAAGATGATGTATATGCATGGATAGAGATTTCTTCTCAATTTTGGAAAAATCAGGAGTCAAACCGCCATATCGAAAGCAGCTTCTTTGGCAACCCAAGTGGAGGGAATTTTTCCAAGTCCCATAGTAGCGAAATGATGCCAACAAGTGATCCCATGGACTTAGATCAAATGCACTTGACTAGAGTCACTGTGACCCCGGCTGAATGGCAATATCGAAGAGATCACGGTTTGTGTAATCGATTTGGTGGAAGAGGTCACTATTCAAAGGAATGCACTTCCGAAATTGCAAGAAAAAGCAGAAGGGGCCATGATACTGCCGATCGTGAGTTGGCTTCAGCGGAATTGAGTCGCGGTAACCGTGGAGGTCAACAAGGTAATTTTAACTATAATCAGAGTAGTCAACGAGGAGCATTCAGTGGTGATAATAAAAATAACTATTCTTCTGCTCCATTTAGTCGCCGGAGCCAAGGTGGAAGAGATCCTCAGCCGGGCTATGCAAGAGGACAAGATGGAACTAGAAATGCTAATTCCAGTAATTTTCCGCATTTACGGATGCAAGAAGTAAACGAATGGGGCCACAATTACGATTCCCCATATGAACAGCAACATAGCCTTGGTAGCCCTGTAAATAATTTAGGCCACAAGAGTGGTCGAGTTCTGGGAGAAATTGAAACGGAAAATGGGCATGTTAATAAATATCAAATTGATAGAAACGCTCCTTGGAGTCAGGGAAATGGAGAGCCCCGGCATTAAGTCGCGTGCGGGGCATCAATGTACAAAAGTTTGTTGATTTACAGAGAAAATGTATACATCAGGATTCAACTATTGGAAAGCCTATAATGTTAAATAAAGTTGGCAAAAATTCTATATCATTATCTGGAATTTTTCACTCTACAGTACAGCGCAAATTGTCTTTCTCAGTATCTATACTTCTCGATACTGTTAGCACCGAGTTCATGTTTGTAAGAAAAGCTTGGGCAATTGCTAATAAACTATCCTTAATGCCCCTTACACGTCCTCGCCCTCTCTATTTAGCTGACGGATGTGTTTCGGAGCTAATAACGCATCGTGTTTCTGGTTCCTTAGAATTAAGCAATCATTTCGAGGAAGTGGATGCCCTGGTTACCACACTAGGACCCGAACATGATGTTATTCTGGGATTTCCATGGCTGGAGCGTCATAATCCTTCCATTGACTGGCAATTAAAGTCAGTTAAATTTGACAAAGAATTTTGCTGAAGTAACTGCTTTATTCCCGAAAATTCAAATTATAAGTCACTTTATGTTGAGGAAGTTATCGATCATGAACATGTCACTGTACCCGAGAAAGATGCACCGGAGCTTTCAACTACACTGGCATCGACGAGTCCAATTCAAGCCAAATCTATGGTTGGTAAACGGGTCAAACAAGCAACTAAGAATAAGCATGAAATGCTACATTCTCCG